TCGCTACTTTTGTAGGACTTTGTATGATCGTGTACAGTCATCGTGTGTACGTGCATACCGTCGTGCGACTCTCAAGCCCTCTGAGTAAAAAGTAGCGCCTCTACGCTCATGGCTTAACGGCGTACCCTGTGGATTCTATAAAAAGGAGTGTAGTTCTCCAGTCCATGGATTAACTGGCTATCACTTGGACGGCATATACATAGTCAGTGCTTGTGCTGTGGTTATTGCCAACTATAGACACTTCTCAACTTAGGGCTTCGTGAAAAAAAGCATGGCTGGGACACGTGATCTGAATCCCAAACCCTGAACCACCCAAAATCCTTAACCCCCAATCTTGCAACCTGAGACTTGCAAACGTGTTTGGCGGCCAGTGTACCGTGGCTCCGGCATTCCCGCCACGTAGTAGAGACGAGTCACATGCATTAGTCATTAGTGTTAGCCACGTACTAGAGACGAGTGACATTAGTGTGAAAGGTTATTGCCGCATTGTGAAGCTGTTACTTGCGCACGCATTCCTTCAAGATGGCCGTGACTANNAAAGCGCAAGGCTTGGCAGGACTCGGAGCAAGTAGAGCTGCCAGCGGATGGGAGTTTGCGGGGTGTCGCACTGACATGGCTCAGTCAAAAAGGCATTCTGCACGGAACCTTGACGACGTCATCCATTGAGAAGAAGCCGGCGTTGATAGCCTCGTGCACGGAGTGCAGGGAGTGCACAAAGCAGTGGCTTTTTTACCGCTTGCCCGACATGGACAAGATGCAAGTGCAGGTCGTGGGTGAACACAATGAGAACAAGAATGAGAAGAACATCAAGAAGAGGCTTGCGAAGGAGTTTGCCAAGAGCTCGACGCCGTCTCAGGCTTTGCTTCAGATGGAGCGCGACGAGGTGCCAGTGTCGCATCGTCCGCCTGCGTGGCAGATCGCGAACTTTCGTCCAAAACCAGAGCGGCAATCAAAGCTGGCGGCAGATTGCGTGGCGTCTCTGCAGAGGTTCGTCAACAATCCTCCGCAAGATATTGTGGTGTATGACGGCAGTGTCATCACCGATGAGGAGGCTCGCATCATGTTCAGCTTTGACATGGCGTCTGACTGGCTGAAGCAGCAGCCGCTTTCCAGCTTCTTGATGGATTTTACACACAAGACAAACGCAAAAGACCTTCTTTTGGGTGCCATCGGCCCCGTGGGGCTACACACGGAAAAAGATGGTGCAGGGCGACCGGCCATGCGTTTCATGCCCATGTTCTTCTTGCTTGCCCACACCGAGGATCACGTGCCTTGGCCATATTTCACCATGTTATGAACTCTTATGTGTTTGCCCGTCTGTGCATCAGATTTCTTGCCCGAGTGCGACAGGAAGCGCATGAGCAGCTGGTGCGGAAGTATGTTGCGGCGGCCACCGATGCCGGCATCAC